CTACTTACTTATAGAAGAATACTACGCGCCCATTCTGAGTTTATTGAACTGCAAGAAATTTTGTTATTGTTGATGATTTGTTGCTTCTTTTCAAATCAGTTGAATATGCTAATGCAAAAATTTTGCTTCCGCAAAGGAGAATCGGAAATGAATGTTTTGAAAAAAATTAAAATGAAATAAAATGAAATAAAATTTATCATTAAATTTTGTAATCTATGTACAAAATTTTTGATTGTTTTGTCTTTTATTCCTGCGCTATCCAACGCTTTATCTGAGAAAGAAAGTTTCATGCCACGCCGAAAAATTGGAAAAGGGTGAAGGGTGAGGTGGATATTAGACTACTGACCAAGCATTGCAGCAGAAGATAGTTAATATCGTGTACTTCGTAGTAGCTCAGAAAAGGTCCTAAGAAGCAAGATGGTGGTAGATGTGGTGGCCGCAGCAAATCACATGCATATCTTCTTGTTGCCATGCTACAAGGGCATTATGGACAAGGAAATAGTTGATAAGATTGCAAAAAGTATCATCCGTCTGGCAACCGAACCATTATATGAAATGGAAAGGTGAATTTTCGGAAGTGGAATGCCTTAAAGGCCTGCGAAACCGCACTAAGTCGGCTGTGGCAACTCTATGTAAAAAGGCAATAGAAATACTGTACGGGAAAAAAGAAGACAGACATTGAAGGCAATTACATATATAGCTGACGAACTGGCAAAGTTCACAGGGATGTAATAATGAGACTACCAATTCCATTCAGGGAATTGAAGCAAATGCAAGAACGAGCTAAGGGATGCCCACGTGCGAATTCTTTGTGCTTATAATGCTAAATTTTCAGAGTTTCTACCAGCGATAAAGAGGCAGAATACTAGGCTACTGGTAGGACTGTTGACGGGACTATGGCTTCGGGCGTCGCATGCTTTTAGTATGGATCTAATTGGGGGCTACAAGTACAGGAAACGTAGGAAATGTTTGGAAATAATAGAGTGAGTGTCCAGCATTCAGCAGACAAAGTCTAAAGCATCTTCAATCGGCAATATTCAAAATAACTACTTCAATTTGGAAAAAGGACAACAAATTTCATTACTCTAAAAACTCAATAAAAAGTGTAGGAGCGCAACTTGATCGTTTTTAGTATGCCTGGCGCCACTATGGTCAACCAGTATAACCAAACCTAACCTAGCAAGAGACGACGTATGTTCCTACTCGTCAGGACATGATTTTCCTATTCCTTCTAACTCCGATATACATGCTGAAAGCAGTGATCGAACTCTCACCCTTAGAAATGTTCTTTCCTCACTTTACTTTAGTATTGTGTTTCGTATTAATGAGGAACTGAAAACTGAATGCTTTACTCGACACACCCATTAAATGAAATCACCATTCTCATTCCATTCTCAAAAGTCTTTAGGCAAGAATTTCGTAATTTTTGGCAAGAGCTAAAGCTAAGATATCCATTTATTTATTATATGTATGTAGTATCTATTCAATGCAGTGACGTAATATACGACTTAACGGTTTCCGAAATATGATTAGACCAAAATTAACGATGATGTGATGACGCAGCGGTTCATTGAATCTGCAGTTAGACACGCAGTGCAATGACCCAATGGACTAACATATAAATAAATATTTATATCTACTTTGGCTTTATGAGTATTTACAAGTTGTTTGAACACTAGCATTCATATACATACATACATACATACAAGATGTTGGCAACTATGCAGGTGTATATGTAAATACTTACCTATGTCGGTATTCAATACAAAAAATGAGCGATTAAAACTGAAGCAATTTAGCCAGTTGCTAGTTAATAAGTTAGGCTACAGATACATATCTATATGTAAGTAAATATTGTTTCGGATAACAGGAGCAGTCAAGAGCAGTTTAAGTCATCGATGACATCTTACGAGAGGTCCATGAAACGAGCTGTTTCAACGGGTTTGAATCAAAAGGAAAGGGGTGTTAGATGAGTTGGCTTCAGGGGTATTTAGTTGGTTTGTGTCGTGCGTGAACTCATTGCATGCAGTACGCACGTTGGGTATGTTCTCGTTCTACTGGGTCAAACACTCGAAAAGGCGATGAAATTCTGCAACTAGTGGAATAAGAGCATCAGCAAGCTGTCAGGAGAGAGCCAAAATTTTGGCATTACTCCCATGACATTTGAAAAGAGTTGGCTACTTAGAGAAGCTGGATAATTAATCATTAGCAAAACACATCTAAGAGGCGAAAAAGTGAACCATTTCAGAAACGACTCATCGAGAACTATGAAAAATGCATGAAATACGAGAATATTAAATGAAAAAATCAGCCTGTGAACATTCATAAAAGACTTGAAAGTCAGAATTGACGGCAAACAAGGTGATACTGAGATATGGGTGATGGATATGGATATTGGAATTGCAGCTTACAACCAACTCTCCCAGAAAATCTTCGATCGATCGATCACTAGAAGAGTTGTTGTATTTCAATATCATAGAGCCAGACCACATGAATACCGAAGAGCCGCTGGAAGTAATTTGGACAAGTTCTACGCCGATAAGTCACAAAATTAAAATTGCTACATTTTCTTTAAATTATGCCTATTTCTCTTATGTTTCTGGAATCAACTTCAGCTCTCAGTGTTTTTTAGTCATATAAGCATATACCAAAGCCCAGCAGTATTTGGGCACGAATAAAGGGCTACCGACTGCGAAGCTTACTAAATAAGCTTTTACTAATTACAATATTAATCACGCTGCTGGCAGAACATTTAAAGGGGGGGCGCTGTCTGTTGGCGTCACATGTCTTCAAATTGGGTTTGGATGATGCGGAGACAAGATATGGTATGTGAGTATGTGTGAGTGCTCGGCAGACAGAAGTTGATCATGCTTGATAAGAAAAAAACACATTCAACAAGGAACAAAGGATCAAGATTGTTACAATTTGCTCAAATTATAGCAACTACAATCGTAGTATATAACATTTCCACTAACATATTGGACGTGAGACTTCCCAAGGTATCCATCAGTTTAGCTCAAACTAAACTACAAAACACGCTACAAAATCTGTGATTCAAAAGTCGTCATTCTCCGTGCATTAAGAGGTGATTATTGTGCACATAATCATCCAACTACTCAAGCAATCGGTAAAATTTTGAAGAGACTGGATCGGTTACAGGTAACATAAGGCCCGTTTCTCCTCAAATATCGCTACTCTAAATGAAACCGAAGAGCGGAATGTGTGTATTTCCCGTCGTTCTCACGAGCTGAGACTTTCTTACCGCACATTATGCGTTTACATCCATATTAAGTACTGCTCGCCTCAGAACTGAAGCCAGCTGACCATTTACAACGGCCAACGTTCTATATATCGATTGGGTACTTGAACAATCAATGCTGTTGTTGTTGTAACCGCAAAAATATTTCTCAAAGTACTTTTTGGGGAAGGTTGGGGGAGTGACAGCCCTTGGCCGGATAAAAATCCGGGTCGTTACGGTATAAAAACCCGACTGTCGCGGGAACTATTGGATTTCCCCAAACTCGCCTCTTATAACAGGCATACCTTCCGCGGGTAAATTCTTGAACCCCTAACCCGCGTGGGGCAGATCATGCGATCATGTGATTTGACACCGTTGAGCTTTTTTGTGGGGTAAAGTGAAATATCGTTTTTTGCAGACAAGTCTTTTAATACTTGGGCACTTGAACTTGTCTTAAGAAAACATTCGTCGAGTTATGGCTAAGGTGGCGTTCAATATGTGCCAAAAGGTGGTCGAAAATTATCCTAAACTGGTCGAAGTTTGAAAAATGCCAAAGCTCAAATTTTATATTATAAAAGGAATTTTATGAATTTTATTTCCGATTTTTATCTCAAACGGGTTGACGGAAGCATTGAATATATTCGTTAATGGTCCTTATAGAAATTCAGCACAAAAATCAAATATTCTTGTTGGGATATTAGCCGGGAAGCATGTGAATGAGCATTTAAGGGCATTAAGATAGTAATAAACAATAACATCGTCCGCCATAGTTGAGTAGTTGGTATAGCGTACTGTCATACGAAGGTCTAGAACTTAAAATCTGATTCGGCCAACTTCTTACAATGAAACCCATTTAATTTTTCTAATGACGGTCACCCATCGCCTGGGAATGTCAAGCCCTCCGAGTGCATTTCTGACATGAAATAAACAGCTCTTCATAAAAATCCATCGGTCCTTCGGAGGCGACTTAGAATAAACAGTAGATCCTTCCATCTAAATTCAAAACATCAAGACGCAGACTTCATATTGAAGGAGGAGCTCGGCGGAAAATCGCTTCAGCGGTTACAAAGCGCAAGAAATATAAGATACTTTTACATAATCAAAATAACGCAATAAGTAAGGGCAAATGAATGGCTACGTGTTCGCATCTGTGTTCGGCGCATAATTTGACTCGACGTACATATATGTGGTTCTATAAAAATTAACTAGGAATTTCACCATTCATTATCAAAGAAGATGAAGATTCAAAAGTCTTACGTTTTGATTTAAGAAAACTATTCAACAATCCAAAAGTAGGAATGACTCATTATTGTTTGTAACCAAAATATTGGTGTTACCCTCCAGTCGTAATGAAACAAAAATATAAATAAAAAAGATTATAAGTATATCGAAAGAGAAACGCAGCGATAAGTCAATAAAAAAAATTAAAAAAAATCAAAGGAAACAAAAACAAATCGATTGATATTGTGCCGCCGCCAATTTCGTAAAATTCCCTACGTCACTAAGCCAGATGAAAGATGAAAGAAAACAGCAGTTCGCAAGTCAACAGTCATACATACATAATAAAGTACATATATATAATAATATGAATTTCGGGAGCAATGGGAAAATATGTGACAAAGAGAGTGTAATAGGCAAGGAAAAAAATTGTAAGAATTTCAAAAGATTGCAGATGACTATGTGTTGGTGCAAATAAAATTAAAATTATAAAAACAATAAAATTATATTCTAGCAAAAATACAAATTCCAAAACAATTCTTACTCTTTTTGTTTGGAAGAATAAATCACAATATCTGGTGTAAGTCCATTTAAGCCGCATGGAACAGTTGAGTTTGTTGTTGTTTAAGTGCTTTGTTGTATCAAAGAACAAATTTCCATATCCTTGGCGTGCAGGTAGCACTTTAAAATTCGTTATTTTTTATATTTCGATTTTTTTTTATTTATTTTGAAGTATTTTGAGGTTGGCCGAGTTTTCCGTCAGATTTTTAATTGCATTTTTTTGCGCGCGAAAACGGGAAAAAGAATACAAAAGTAAGTGTAGTAGAGGAGGTAATTTAAGATGGTATGGTGAGAAAAAGTTAGGAAAAATTAGAAAGAAGTATTATGAGAGTAATGTAATACAGCGTAAAAGAGAAGTAAAGAATAAGTGAAATATTTTGATAAAGTTGATAGATATATTCGAAAAAAAAATTATTTAAAATAAATATGTTAACGGGGGAGAATATATTTTTATAAACTAAAATTTTTATTAGAAAAAGTAATACTAAAATTTATATTAAAATTTAGAAATATATTTTAGATTTTTTTATGATTTTCTTCGCAAATTACATTGAAAAAAACAAATAGAAAATTAAGAAAAAAAATTAACAAATTTTATTGTAAGCTCTTTGAAAATTACACAAAAATATAGCAAAAATGAAGTAGATAAATAAAGAAAACAAAAGCGTATTAAATAATAAGTAGCGAAAAGAACTTTTTTTTAATTCTCTTTTTGCTATATTCCATTATACATACATAACTTTTTATTGTATTTTTTTTACTTTAATATATTTAAAAAATTTCTAATTATAATATGATCAATTTTTTAAAATGAATGTTGAATAAAAAATAATCTTTTTAAGCCTGAACTTTTTATAAATTCTTTATTTCTTTATAATTTAATTATTTATATTTAATGATTTATGTATTTGTTTTTTTATTGGTTAATTTATTTTATTTTTATTCCATAATTATTCATTTTTAATTATTTATCTTCGTTTTTTTCTGTTTATTAATTTATTTATTTTTGAAGATTTATTTATTTGTTTTTGAAGTTTTACTTTTTTGTTTTTCCTAGGATTGATTTATTTATCTTTTTTATGATTTATTCTTAATTATTTTTTTATTTGCTTTTTATGGTTTATTTATTTACTTTTAATTGTTTTATAATTTAGTTTTAATGTTTAATCTTTTATATTTTTGTGATTTAATTATTTATTTTTAATGATATATTTATTTAAATTTAATATTTTAGTTGTTTTATTTAGAGTTTATTGATTTGTTTCTGATTTATTTGAAATTGATATTAACATAATTTCATTTTACGAAAATAACGTTAAAATTGAGAAAAAAGATTTTAAAAACAAGCTGCAATGAATAAGCAAGTTTAAGTAATAAGTATACCTGCAGTCGTTTAAAAATTTTAAACTAAGATTTTTGTGAAAATATTCAAAGAAATTTTAAAAATTATTTAATTAAAATTTCAATAACAATAAAAAAAACTTAAATTGCAGTTTTTCTCCAAATATATTTTTTTTTAGAAAAAAAGAGCAAATTCCAGTTTAATGCTGCTTAGTAAAAGCTGAGTTAGAAAAAATAGTAACAAAAAAANAAAAAAAAAAAAAAATAGGTGAAAACATAAAAATAAAAATTATTCATTATCAAGAGAAACAAATAAAAAAAAAATCCGAAATTATTAGATTTAAAAATTCACTATACTCACAAATAATGTTGTGTATATTTTGTGTGTATGTAGAAAAAATACGCGTTAAAAAATATATAAATACAGCGACAGTAAAAATAGTAAGACAAGTGGGTACGCAAAACGATGAAATTTTTATTGTCCAAAATAATTTATTTTCTTACTTTCTTTCTTATTTCTTACTTATTTTTAAATATTTTTTTTTTAATTTTAAATTTTTTTTTATTAATTTAATAACTTTTCACTGTGGACTTATAATTTTTGTAATTTTGTTAGTATATGCATACATTTATATATGTATATGTATATTTGTAAGTACGGGTAAGTGCGAGTATATTTTGCTAATAGTGTGACAATTTTTTCTTATTTTTTTTTTTATTTGGAAATATATGTTTTTTGGTAGTGAAAAAATAGGAAGAGGAAGAAATGATATTTACAATTCAAAATAAATAACAGCAATTAACGTTTTGTAGCTCTGTTTCGATTTTCTTTTGTTTTTATATATTTTTTCTTGCTGCTGGGTTGCTGTTTAATATAGTATGTATGTAGTTGTACGATTGCTTGCTTGTTGTTGCTGGATAGTGGGGGCGTATAGTTTTGGTTGGTTGGGATACTTAATTGTGTTCATAACATATAGACAAATTTGAAGTATTATCACCAACACCTGGGATTGATTGCCAAAAGTTATGCAGGTTTTTTTTTTAAATTTTATTTATTTATATTTTTTTCTGTAAGAAAATATTTACAACAGGTTTCAATGGTGGTAGATCCTTCACAGGCTGTGTTAAAACTCTGTTTATAATTTTTTTTTTGGGATTTTTGCCAATCGGTTTTTTAATATTTTTGTTAATTTATTTTTAAAAAATACATTTTTGATTTTCATTAATTTAATATGAGAAATTTTTCTTCTGTTGATTTTCTATTTATTTGTTGAAAATAAATTACAATTATTAAATGATTTTATTTTTTAACTGAACTTTTGAAAAATATTTAATTTTAATTTAACTTTTTTATTCCAATCGTTTTGCGTTGGCTGTCGGTTGGTTTTGGTTGTTTCATTAGTTTTTAAACTTTTTTCAAATTGTATTTCCTGCTTTGCTCCCGTGTTATATTGTTTTTTTGTTTATCACTTTCGCGTTTCTCGGTATTTTTTATGCGATTTTTTATACTTGAATATATGTTTTTTTTAACAAGTTTCAGTTTTTGAAAAATTTTTTCTGAAAAAGCACTTTGATTTATTTAACTATTTAACTTGGTTGTTGTTGTTGTAACTTTTATTTTGGTTTTGATGATATTATGTTCAACATTTATCAATTTACAAAATATATATGTAGCTTGTATGCATGCCTATACAAATGTATGTATGTATTATGTATATTTCCACCTCCATTATATATCAATTTTTACATAGTATTATTCCTTTGCTAAATGGGCTTAGAGAAAATCTGTTTGAAAAAATTTTTAGTTGAAGCTTTTTATTTATTTTCTTATTGAATATTTTTTGTATTTATTTTTTTTCAATTTTTTGTGCAAGCTTAACTTGACAATTCAATACTTTTATTTTAAAATATGCTCCAAGGTTTTTTTCGTGTTTTTTTTTAATAAGTATTTATTTTTTTCATTTTTAAAACTGCTAATAATGTTTAACTACCAGGGTTGCATTTTTTTAAATTAATTATATTAATTTTATTTATTTAAATGTTTGCTCCCAGGGTTTCTTTTTTTAAATAATTAAAATTGATTTCTTTTTGCAAATTTTGTTTTAATAATATTTTTTTTTTTATATTTTTGTCATGTCGAAAATTGCAAAAATTTCCGTTTTTACTTAGCACACTGCTATTTCTTTTTAAATCATATCTCATAAACGGGATATTTCTCACTCACTTTAGTTTTAGCACTTTTTACTATTTCATATTTATATGTTTTTCTTTAATTTTGTTTTAAGTTTTTTTCACATTGAGAAAAATTAGTTTTTGGCCAAATAATTTTAAATTGCCTTTTTGCTTTCATTACGGCTTTGAAGTTGAGCTGTATTTCCCAGTATTTCACTTTAAGTTCAACTTTGAAATTTCGCATTTTATTTATTTTTGACTTTATCGAAATATCTATGTTTGTACACTTTTTCAGTAGCCTTAATCATGTTTAGAATACTTGGTTTTTGAAATTTGCTCTTTTGCAGTTTTCACTTTTTTCAATTTTTTTTACACATATGTACAACTATATATATATATATATCATATATATATAAATTTAATTATATTTTGTCTGCAAGTAATCCAATCAATAAACTGTCATATATGTACATATGTACATATATACATATGTATTTATGATCTCCACGCACTGTACGCCCGTTAAAAGAGCAGAGAAATTTCCACAAATCCGAATACGTCAACGGTAGAAAGCCGACTGTGCGCAGGCGCACCAAAAGAAATGTCAGGCGCATACAACATTACCGTCGCCGCCACAGAGCATCGTGCCGTGGCAGAGACCATATTTTGGCAAAAACAACAACCGGCAATCGAACCAAGTGCCGCTATAGCATTAGAGCAGCAACTAACAAGCTAAGAAGCCAAAAAATACTATGCTTTGACGACTCTGCTCTTCGGAGGATGGAATCGACGTGTACACACATACATACATAGGCACACTCATACATGTCTTCAGACGTTTATTATTGTTGTAAAACTATTTTTATTTAGTATAGTCGCAGCGCACAGTTGATCATACAAGAAGGCCACGAGCGCCAGACACCCGTCGCGGAACACTGCAGAAATCCCAACGGCCAGCAGAGCGCTACCAAAGTGGCGATACAGCATTATGACCAACGAATAGCAGCAACATTCAGCACGAATGCACGGCATGGAGTCGTAAGTAAATTTAACTCTTATGTGCGTATGTGTGTATGTGAGTAGTTGTATTAGTTGGTAGTTCTGCAAAAGTTGCGTCGACTCAGCTGAGCGTAGCATGCAACATGTTTGAGTACGCTGGCTCAATCAGAGAACTTATAACCGCTATCATTGTAAGTTCTCTGCTCAATTTCAGCTCTAGCATTAACATACACACACACACACACACACACAAGCGTCTCACATAACTGTAAAATTAGCACATGTGTTGGCCGCTGAACTGTATGTTATTGTTACCTTCAATGCGTTCAAAGTCATGGCTAACGACTTGGTCGGCTAAACGATCGACGATCAACAGGTGAGAGAGAGAACGAGAGAGAGAGAGTGTGAAGAGGCTTAAAGAAAGATTACAAAGAGCGAAATTAAACTGAGCGCTCATGTTGCTGAGCTTAGTTAACTTGGGTATAATGAAATAACTTCTCATTGCTCTATACATTTGTCCCCTACTTTATACTGCCTCGCAACAAGTCTTGAGTTGTTAATTTATATACATATATTCAAATAGGTATACTCGTATGTATGTATGTACATTTAAATATGAATAGTTATTTGTATGCCAGTAACCTAAAAAATTATTAACTTTACATTTGCATATTGAATTTATGTTTAGATTTTATGACGTAGTACTCAAATACATACATATTTAACGTTCCACTGGAGACGTGAACTGTATCAGCTATAAATTCTTAGAGAAGGCAGTTTGTGTCTTAAGTCTTTTGTATTGTTGTCGTGTTCAGTATAGTAGAAAAAGTAATTTAAAGGTACATGCAAGTACACATATAAATACATACAGGCGGTGCTACAATTTAAATCATGCCATAAATATTAAAAAAATTAAATAAAAAAGTATAGTGTCGAAGTACAGAAGTTATTGTAGTAATGTAATATAAAAAGAAACTGAGTTAATGCATTTTTGCTATTAAAATTTTCTTTACCGTCAAAAGAAAGACACCATTGTGTCCAAACTTGACAATAAGAGTTGTTTTCAAGCAAAAATCAAATATTTAGCAAATAAAATTTATCACAGAAAAAGAATGAAAACAAACTATTTTATATAATGTACGCAAATACATATGTACATATGTGAGTACCAAGATAATAAGCTAACTTGATTTAGCCATGCCCGTCTGTTTGAACGCAAACTAGTCCTTCAGTTTTTGCTTAAGCTTAAGAAATTTGTGGTCTTGCGTCTCCCAAATGATGAGGAGACTTACGGTTTCTTCTAAACCTCCTCTGTACGGCCGATGAATGTTTGTGAGGAGCTATTATTTCATGACAAAAATACACTTGGAGGGCTTGAAGTTTTCTCTCGAGGGGCGATGGAATTTAGAAGAATTAGTTTTCCATAATTATGGTTGTTAGTAGTGACCCCTCGGCTATTGCGGCCATCAGTTTTTGATGCACTGGTACATTTAAATTATCGTTTATTAGTACCAGTCAGAGCGGACCTCTATAGCATATGTAGATTTGAGATTTTAGGTAATCAGTTTGACAAAAAAAGCATTCAAATTTGGCACTGTATACATATATAATGTATTACACATTGGTCGTTCGGTAGAATGGTTACCATGAGCCTGAAAAGCTACGGGGGGTTGCACGACCTGCAGTATTAATTTCGTTGTGAATTAAGTTAAATGAATAAGCAACCCCCGACGATGATCGGCAGGAGCGGAGCAGCGCTATAAAAGCCAATAAGCTCTATGATGCTTAACAAAGGCGAATTGGCGCTGCCGCCCCCTTCAAAAGCATGGGCATGTTGAGTAATACAAAAATCCAAGCGCAACGGACCCTTAATGGTACCCTTCCTGGCTAGCGTCTGTTATGTGCGGAACCTACGAAGCCCATGGGGATCCCTGGACGTCAGCGTTGGACCCAAGAATAGAAGGCGTCGTTTTTCTGGGCAAGCGACAGTCTGTTTGTATTTCTCGGAACTAGTAAAGCGAAGGACAGACATTAGGAAACTGTGTTAGGAGCATGCTCCCCAGGGTTTTAGCCGTTCCTATTTATTCAAATTTATTTCGATTTTTATTTCGAATCTAATTTTTTCGAATTCCTCATTCAATTTAAAAACCGATTTTTTTGTTTATCTTATGAAACATAAAATTCTCTCACTCGTTACACCCGTCAAATTGATGGTTAATTTACGAGTATGAGCAAAATTGAATGTTGCTAAGTCCATAAACGTACATATATACAGACAAATAAAATGAAAATTTCAAAGCTTTGAGAATTTAATTTGCCATCCAACTTGACGGCATCATCATTGCCGCGCTCACAAATAGTTTCGACATTTGCTCAGCACTTTTATTCTGCGCAAACAAATGTTGTTGCCGACATTTCACATCTAGCGAGCGAGCCACCGAGTCAGCCAACCAGCCAAGCGAGTAACCAGTCAGCCCACCAGCTAATGTTCATTCGCAACTTGACCTAGATACACTTTTTCCTGTTATTTCGCCTTGTAAACAAAATAATTTACAGTTTGTGTTGAGAAGACAAAACTTATGGCTATTCGGTGTTAGATGCATGTTGAGCAACATGTTGCGAGGAACTCATAAGTTTCAGTGGCAACATCTTTTTGATGCTTTTGAGTTTGCTTTTGAATAAATCCGTAAAAATGTTTGTGAAATTTCGATGAAATCCAGCAATATCACTCAGTTAGATAGAGAAGGAAGGGAGGGAAATAGATGTTGCTATTAGAGGAATGCAATTTAAATTTTTATTCATTTTATTTTCTTTTTCACCGTCCACAGCGGAATTGTTTTCAGGATGGAAAGAAAAATCATAATGAAATAATTTTAGAGTATGCAAATTCTCTATGGTAGCAGCGCAAGCCACGAGGAAGTGCTCCGTTTAACCAGCGAAAAAACCATATTAGGCGCCAACTTTATGACATAGGAATCCCAGTA